GTCTCAATGCATCATTGTTAGAAAATATGACAGGTCAAAATGAGCCGTCAGACTTGAAAAGGAAAAATTATGAGACATCGGAGATCAAAATTATTAAAAGAAGAAAAATGTGTCACAGTCCTAGTAAGTAAAATCGTTTTAATACAACATAATTTAGTTTCGTGAGTAAGAAAATAGAAATAAAAGTTGTTTAATTTTATATTTAATAAATATCTTTTCTAGTTCGTCATGATCAAATGGTTGACAATATTGAAACAGTTATTCATAACGGCCATCATTATAATGTACAACAGGTTTATGATGCCAACACGAATCCATTCCTGCAACGAATTAAAAGAGAGATATGTATGGCTAGTGGCACTGTTATAATACAAATTCCATGAGAACAAATATCAGTTTCATGTTAATTATTTGAATATTACGTGTATATTATTTTATTTTTTATTTGTTAACAATTTCATATACATTTTGTTTACGTTATCAACTTTTTTTTTGGCAACTTTTCGTATTATTGCAAATATTCTTTTTAATTGTATTAAAATTCATTTACTCAATAAAAACTTATTTTTCTTTTGAATATTGTTCACATTATTAGTCGATAAAAATACTTGGTGTATAAAAATACATAATTTATTAAGGTTGATATTTAATTTTATAATTTTTAAAGTAATCGTTTGGTCATATTTTAAGTCTTCTTCACAATATATTTTTGCAGAGCGTTCAAAATTGATATATAAATATTGTATTTATTATAGCTGAACGTTGACTAGTGTAAATATGACTGACGACAGACGCCCATGTACTTATTGCTATATTTTTTAACGCGGGTCTTTTTGCAAGTGCCCTATAATTCATTACTTTTCTTTGAGCGCTTATGCGTAAACATTTTTTTTGAAAAGATTAAAATTGCATTATGAAAACTCAAATGTTAAACAGGTAAATTGTAAAATCTACTCTTAATTATGTTTAATCCTTTGTCAGCTATACATCCTAGTAAAGGTCACCCTTCTAATAAAATTGATTATAATATTTAAATTTAAAATATTTTTAGCCACTAGTGAAAATTTTTACTGTATAAAAATTAAATTATCGGTTTGTATAGTTAACATAACATATATTTCTTGAATTATTAGTTCTTAATTAGGTCTTTCACCCAACTAAAAATCTATGCCATAAAACGATAATTGTTTTTATTGTAAAAATTATTTGTCTACCTTTAGTTTTCATCAAAATCATATGCTCAAAAGTTTATACTAGGTTGTTATATGTAAGCAATATTACTTATAAAATTAAAAACACAGAATATTTACTTCAGAAGTATTACAATTTCTCTGTGTCAAAAGAGTTTTATGGATCATTTTATATAATAAATTATACATAANGTATTACAATTTCTCTGTGTCAAAAGAGTTTTATGGATCATTTTATATAATAAATTATACATAATATACTATGAAATTAAATTAAGAAGTATTGCATCCTTACTAATCTAACAATCTAAGATTGTATTAAATTTCTTTATAATAATTATTGTAATGCAATAATTTTCTTTAGAAAAATACAATTTTTATGGTTATGATTAAGTATATTGTTAGATAGTATTAGCATCACAATAAATCGACAATACATTTCTCAAATAATGAGAAGACGTAAAACGTAATGGATAGGCATCTTGAAATATTTTTATGATTATAATAATTAGTTCACAAAAAAATTCGAAAAATAATACATTATCGAATACAAATAATTTCAAAATATAATAAATAAAGGGAAGTCGGACTAAGCCGATCGAAATAATAAAAGTCATGTTATAACATTGTTTTGTTAATTAGAGTAAAATTATGCCATTATAAAAATATGTCGATCTAGTCGAACGGAATAATAATAATAAGCCATAAGTATCAAAGAAAATATTTAATTAAAATTAACATTATAAGTAAGCCATAATGTTCAAATAGAATAATTCAAATATGCCATAACGTAATGTATCGGACTGGCCGAAAATAATTATAAAATATATATATGCCACAAATTAAATTAATCAACGGACTTGCCGAGAATAAAATATATGCCAAAATCAAATTATCGGATTTACCGAAAATAATTGTAATATAAATATGCCACAAAATCGGTTATACCGAATAAAATAATATATAATAATGTTCTAATGAACTAAGTCGGACTTTGCCGAATATAATAAACATATAATAAATAAACAGACAATGCTGTAATGTGGCTGGGTCCCCAAAATAATAATAATATAACAATACTATATATTTCAATAGTAATAGTAATAAGGACTTAATTTTCTAGCTAGAAATTACTCACCCAATGGTCGACAACAAAGGACGGATAGAACATAAATATGCACGAATCGTGATAATTTGATTTCTCGGTGATCAAGTTGCTACATACGAAATTATACGAAGAAGTCGTGGTTTGGATGTTCTATTAAAAGGGACTGTGGCTCAAAATAGTGTGACAAAAGTCATGGTAATGGTCGTGACATTGACCGTGGCTGTGGAGTGGCGGTGGTGTTCGTGGTGACTGGCTATGAATGGCTATGAAAAATGGCGAGTTGGCAAAATGGCAATTAGGTGAATGCATCGTATACACTATAGTGTAACATATCTGTATTTATTTTAAGGGCGTTACCAGAACAAGTCCCGCTATTCATTTAAAATTACCTGATATCAAAAAGATGATCCCACATTATAAATAAACAAAAATTATTAAAATAATTATTCGTTTACACATAGTCTTATTATACACTATGTTTTTATAATAGTATTTTTAAAGTAATAATTCAGTAGCACAGTGGGGTCGCAGCACAGTATGGACGTGGCATAGTTGGGTCAAGTATAAAGATACCTGACAGCGATTAAAATCACTATCATAAAAAACGATTTGATGCAAATCTATAGATAGTGTTTAATTATAAGAAATCGGTAGATTATTTCAAAAGCAAGAATAACTCTTATTCTCTTAATTTTATCCCGATTAGTTATTTGATTTGTAATTATAATAAATGAATAAATAATAATTATAGTAATTAAATTTAATATGAAATTGATATTCAATAATTTTAAATTGCAATTTATACGGAGAAATTATAAAAATAATAAAGTAGTTATATACTCCTTTACTTTTAACGTGTATAAAAATGGTATTTTTAAGATTCATATATATACTTTTTTAAATTTTATAATTACTATTTATAGTAAATTTATCATAAAAGTTCTATATTGTTTTCCTTTGTTATCGTAATAGATCACTTAAATAGAAATCATAGTAATAATTTTAAGTAACTTTTGGTAGTCAAAAAGATTCCACTTTTGAAATATTCAGAGCTTATTTAATTTAAATGATTTAATATAACTAAAAAAATTAATCAAAATGTTTAAAAAATCTACTTAATTGAGCGTATTATAAAATTTGTTATAATTGTAAAAATCTATTATTAAATTCAGTTGAAACTAAAAATATTTTTTTTTGTAAATGATTTATATAGTAACATGTTACCAAAATATTCGGGTAACACGGCAACCATATGTTTATATTGCCAAAAGTATATAGAACATCACAGCAGAATTAAATGGGTTGGGTTGGGTTTTCACTACATGTTGTCGTCGTGTGGTAACTGATTGTATAGTTGATGAATATAGACTAAATGATTACAAACATTTTGATATCTATTGCATTTTGTGTGACAAGACTAATAATTAAGTAAAACTATTTATTATAAAAATTTTATTTTTAATGAATCTTCGTCTCCATAAAAAAAAACCGTTTTTTATTAATATAGTTTACTTTAAGTGAAAAATCTAAACTTTTAATTTTTATGGATGGATATAAATTTTGTTTTCATAAAACGTTTTAAATTTTACCTTGATCTAAGTAATTATGTTGACGAAAATTGACTAAATTTTTTATTTTATATTAATTCAACTTAAATATTTTATCTCAAGACAATACAAAAGTAAAATACCTTCTCTGCTTCATATCGAAGTTAAAAAAATGTTTGGGAGACTTAACAACCAACCTCCTCGTGGTGTCTCCTGGTAACACTAATAGTCTAATGTTTAGGAATGAATTCATATGTGTATTGGGAATTAACTTGTACATCTTCTAATTTGGCCCGGGAAATCAATTAATACATAAAATAAGTCTTGTAAATCAACTCACCGACGCCTATCTATACTTATCCAAACTGCTGCGTTACTACTTGACTGCAACCCCACTGTGCTACCGTTTTTTTAGTCATTTAATCTATAGATGAGTTTAGAATTTTATGTGAAAAAAATAATTTATTAATACGTTAATATTAATTCGTTGGATAAATTGAAAAATTTACTCATCGTATCAATCAATTAAAATTTTCAGACCCAACTATCCATTTTTAGCTAAAATGGCTCAAAAACAATTTTTTAATAATGTGGAACTCCAGGATACGTTAAAAATGATTTCAAATAAATTTATTTTCAAACTTAAACTTTGACTTTTGCATTATCTTTGGCGTGTTGCATACATTATTTAGCATCTTTCAGTAATGAAATAAGTGTTCTTACTATGAGTTTACGATTGCAAAAAAAAAATGGTATTGTTAAAATTAGTATGCAGTCCGGAAATTTTATAATTACTATTGACAGTATATTTACGAGAAAAGCTCAATATTTCGTTAAAATCACTATTTTCTTTTGCATTTTTATCATAATAAATAATTTCAATAGAAATCATAATAATCATTCCTGCATAGCTCTTGGTTAATCTGAAATTGAAAATTTTTCAATTTTTGAGGGTAATGTCTCAATTAGATACGATTTGTGATCTTTTGACGTATTGTTCATAAAAATCGGTCCAGTGAGAGCTAAGATTGAGCGTTTACAGACATAAAAAAAATAAAATAAAATAAAAAAACACATCCTAGTAAAATTAATACCTTCTCAGCTTCGCATCGAAGCTAATAAGTTTACAAATTCCATTGAGTTTAAAAATATGGATGATTATTTGTATTTTAAAGAGATATCAATGATTGTATGGATTTATAGTTAGTAGTAGGAAATAATATTTTTAGTATCACTTTATTTTGAATTTATTTTTATGTTAAAAGTTGACATTTTAATTTTGGTTTCAATTAAAATATATTGAACCATTATTTATCGACATAACTATTTACTAAACTTTATGAGCGAAAAAAAAAATTATCAAGTTTTATGAAGGAATCTTTAAAAAAAGTAAGCAAAAGGCCTTGCATTTTTTAGTGCCGGTCTTGCGATCGACCTGCTTGATTAAGAAATCAAATTTATGAATTTATTATTTATTTATGAATTAAGTTAGGTTTGTAGTATTGGTTTCTATGACACTGTAATTATCTCCTTTTTTATTTAAATTATCGAGTTATATGATGTCTGAAGTAGAGTTTAGTTATGTTGTGGACATTTTTCATAAAAGCTCAATATGTTTTGGTTCAACAAAAGAAAAAAAGAATTTACTGGATAACGGTATTGGGACTCGAAATTTTCCATTAAAAAAAAAAAACGACTATGAAACCACATTAGGACCAGGTGTATACTCTATACCAGATAAACATAAAATAAGATATGTAAAAACTTCTGATTTAAGGACAGTGTCCTTTAAGAGCCTATTGCCAAGATTTCGTGAAAATTTGAAACCATTGGCCGATACATTTTACAATATTAACTATGAAAAACACACTAAAGTAAATAAGATTCCGTTTAATACAAGTGAAAAACGATTCAAAGAAACGAAGATTGGACACGCCGTATTTTATGATGTGGTACTTAATAGACGTTCGTTGCCATGGGATCATTCATTTGGAGGAAAAAAATGTCTGAAATCTTTTTCAAAAATAAAATGTCCACCAGTCATGAATGTTATGTGCAAAATTTGTCATTCTCGTTCTCACAACGAGTTTTGGATGTGGCAGAAAAAAGTATTGTGTAATTCATGTATTGAAACTGAACGTAAATCACCAAAACATTTTTCATCATTTCAACTCAGTTTGTTTAAACTAACACAAAACTGTTCTGCTTTTCATCATCATTTTAACATGAGTAATGTGAAGATAAAAAAGTTAACTTATAGTGAACACAAAAAATTAATTTTAACGCAAAATTATTTTTACTTATATCGGTAAAAAAATAAACAAAATTTTTTTCAATTTTTTGTATTTTATTCAAACAGGAGTTAAAACATTCGTAAACTATATTAAAAGTGGAAGCCAAAGATTTTATTGTATAATATTATTTGTTAAACACATAATTTAATATCCTTATTAGTCAATATAATTGCGATAACAAAAGCAAACAAGATTGTGAACATAAAACATTAAAAAAATCTAAATACTTGTAATTCTCTTCCATATAAATAAAAGCAGGCTGTCAAAAAACTACTATGACGTCCTTTTTTTTTTTTTGCTCGACATTTGTACCTAGCCATTAAAAAGGTCTCAACAAATAGTGGGATGATTTCAGTCCCGTAACCGAATCCCGTACACTTAAATTCCAAGTTATGTCCATAATATTACTCATCTCTATATTACAATAGGGCCTTAAGAATGTAAATTTGTTTAAAACCACTTTTGAGACACTCAACTCTTTGAAAAATTATAAGTTTATACAGTATTATAGATATATATATTTTGTTTTAATGTAAGAGTAATCTTTCCTTCGTCCCCCAAAATTACATTTGTAATTTAATATACTTTGTTTAGAATTAAGAAAAACTAAAAAAATATATCTATTTATCATTGTTGTACTCGGAATAACTAAAATAAACTTTATAAGTACATAAAATCTCAAGCCCTGTATATTAGGAATTGTCGAGTTAAAAAGTAGAGTATAAAAAAATTTAATATTAAAAATAATTAATAAATAATATGATTTTAACAGCGAAAATTATTTTTAAAAAATAGCAAAATGTTAATTATACCAATAGATATAAGAGTTGTCAATGAGATCTGTTCCATACTATATGTTATACATATATATGGTAAATATTTATTCATTTTATTGAAAGTGTTTTATGATTAATGAACAGTTTATCTGTATTTTTTTGCAAATCGGTGAAAAGAATCATTAACACAATTTTTCATAAAATCGAAAAATGCACAGTATAAAAATAAACAAGAGCTGATTGAGCAACTGAGAAGTCATTTTCGAAATCAGCGCTCCCTAATTACAATACATAATTGTTATTCCGGAATCATGCATCTATATTGATATTCTGCAATACATAATAATTAATATTGTAATAGGCTGATGCATAAGTAACAAGTGAAATGAGCTATAATTCTTCCCTTGAAATTTTTATATAGGCAACTTATTTTACAAAATTTTGCAAAATGTGTGCGTGATGGACGGCAAAAATAAAACTAGACAAAATTATATTAAGAGTCTATATGTTCTCTGTAATTTATCCGGATTCTATTAGTTGACCTTTACTAGAATACAAAGGAAAATAGGGTTTTGAAATCTTTATTGCACTCATACTAGTCAATGTGATTCTAATTAAGACCTTAACAAAATATATATCTAGTTTTAGGAAGACTTGCATTAAACAAAATAATCTTGCAAAAATATAAACCATTTTTTCAACTGATAAAAATTCAATTCAATTTTTCAAATGTATGTTAAGGATCTACATAAAAAGATCTTTCAATTGAGCTAACTGACCCAAAACTGATGGTTTGATAATTGTGTTAATAAATAATTTTTATAATTATTATCAAAAAAATACATAACATACAAATATATAATATTCGTCAATTTATTTTCCTCACAACATCTACTGTATGTTTAGTTTTGCATTTTTACAAATTCAAAAAGTTAAAAAATGGTAAATAGCTTCTAAAAACGTTGTGCACTTTGAAAT